CCTTTTTTAATTTAATTTATAGATTTATTAAAGTTTTTTATTATAGAGATAGAAAGAAAACAAATGATAGATGTTACACTTAGTAGAAGTCAAAATAGATTTGCAACTATTGCAAATCTTCACAAGCTTGTCAATACCCTTTAATCAAAAAATATTATACATTAGCAATATCAATCATAGAAGTATTATTACTAAACTTATAGAAGAAATTAAAAATAAGATCTAATATCTATGCTAAAAAAATGTGTAATTAATAGAAACAAGTAAACTAATCTTATAATTGAAAATTTTAAAAAAGTTTTACTGCTATGAGATTGAAAGAGTCAAAGATTTGTATCCAAAAGAAATTTAATACAATAAGATCAAAATTTTGATGATTTCTATAAAAATTCAAGTTCTATTTAAGATCATATATTATTCAATAATTTAATAGATTTACTCAAGTTAGATTTATAGACACTCTTTAATTTGAAACTCCTCTCTTTTTATTTATATCTTTAATAAAAAAAGATTCATAACTTATATATGATCTCAATTTATTCTTGGAAGTGTTTATGACCATATTTGGAAAGAGAAATAAAGAAAAGATGGCAGAAACAAAATTCTAGTCTTTACAAGAAGAATTATAATTAGCTACAATTTATATTATCAAATTCCAAATCCTTCCTTGTAATATAGATTGAAATAATAAAAACCTTATGAATGAATTTTGATAAGGATTAAAAAATAATATCAAAGATTTAATATTAATAATACAAAAATAAACTCTTTAAAATAATCCATTATTCTAATCATTGCATGTAACAATCAACAATTTATTCTTTCAAAGGTAATAAGAACAAAGATTTGGTTATAGAAGAGCAAATCAAGTTATGACGACAATTCTTAAATTTATAAAACTTATCCATTAAGGCTAAAACTTATGTAAATTAATATAACTTAATTTAATAAATAGACACCAAAAAAAAGACAAATATCATTGTAAAAACTTATGTTAATATTAAAGAAAAGCATGTCAAAAGACATAAGATTGTTGTATTAAATCAATAAGATTTAAACGAATAAACCTAAATTTTAATATAAAAAAGTTAAAAAATAAGGGCGTCTAATTGCAATAAAGACTTTGTAATTAAAATAAATCTAAACTATCAAATATATTTCTTATATGATGTCACCAACATCCAAATTTACTTTAATAATTATATATATAATATGAATAGATAGAAATAAATAAAAATAGATAAATTTGATAATATCTTATAAAAAAGCTTTTAAGAAGTTTCATAGATGCAACTTGTCTTTATACATGTCTTTAGGCGATTGGTAGGTTGAAAACTTGGCCACATGTTATATGTATTAGACATTTGTGGTACAAGTTGAACATGTGGTACATATATATGAAGCTTGACTTATAAGTTAAACTTGTGTCCTACAAGTTGGATATGTGTTGAAAATCCTATAGAGTATTGCTATGTAGCTCCTAATTAGATAATATATATATAAAAGTAAGAGTGAGGCCATCTTCAATTTTGGCATTTTTTTTTTCTAGTCTAGTTTTGTGAGTTTTTAGTTTTTTAGTCTTTGAAAACAGCCATTTTAATTTCTTCTTGAATATACATATTTACTCATTTATTTTATGTCATCTTTCTTTAAGAAACATCTTACTTATTTATTTATATTCTTTAAGTTCTTGTCTTTAATACACTACTATGAAGAACTACATATTATTTTAGACTTTGTATAATTATTATAACTTCAAATCATAAATTTTTACCTCAAAGACTTTTAAGTAATAAAGTCTTAGAATGATTTTTGGATAATGACTTTGCATTACAACAAGAATTGATACTTTGAAAGAAGATTTGACTAGCTCTAGTAGAAATTATTGATAGATGACTACTTACATTTAAAAACATCATAGAAGAAATCAAACTATTAAAAGTGCCATTAGAAGTTCAAGTATCTAATATTTTCTTTAATATCACTAAATGTCCATTAAATCTTATGATACTTGGTTCTCCTTGGCTTGAATTACATAATTTTAATTTTAATTAAAAATTACAAAAAATCACTTCAATATCTAATTTTAATGACAAAAAACCATCTTGACTTTTATTTGTAAAAAGTCAAGGCATTTATATAAGTTGCAAAAGATAATGATATCATTGTCATTTTTTTGAATTAAGTCTTTATTTAAATAAGAATTGCAATAGAATCTAGAAGCAATTTGAAGAATGTAAATTTGTATTTGAAAAGAAAAATGATGATATATTGTCAAAATATTGGTCTTATGATTGTACAATTGATCTTCAAGAAAGAGCTCAACTACCATTTGAACTAAATTTTAACTTGGTATATAGTAAATTTCTTGTTTTGAAGGAATAAAATAATAAAAATCTTGCAAAGAATTTTATTTGATATTTAAAATCTCTTAAAAAGACAGCAATCTTTTTATTAAAAAAAAGTATAGAACCTTGAAAATGTGTATAGATTATTGAAGACCTCAAAAATTTATCATCAAGAATCATTATTCTTTGCTTTTATTATTGAAACTCCTTAATCAACTAAATGAAACTAAGATCTATATTAAAATAAATCTACAAGGAGACAAGAATTTAATATATATTAAAGAAGGAGATAAATAGAAGAATATATTTTGGAGTAGATATGGCTATTTCAAATACAATGTTATGTCTTTTGGATTTACAAATGCCTTATTTACTTTCTAGCATTTGATGAATGATATATTTTATGAACATTTAAATAATTTCGTTATAAATTTTATGGATAACATGTTTATTTATTTTAAGAATATAAAAGAATATAAAAAAATATGTTTGCCTTATTCTATAAAATCTTAGAGATATAAAATAATACAAAGATAGAAAAATTTATCTTTTAAACAACTTAAGTAGAATTTTTGAAGTTTGTTATTTCATATGAGAATTTATAAATAGATTCTAAGAAGGTAAAAATTATTATAGATTTAATTTTTTTAAATATTGAACATAATTTTTAATATTTTTTAGGATTTAAAAAATATTATCAAATATTTAGTAAGAAATTTTCTTAAGTTGCCACACCAATTATTCAATTAACTTCAAAATAAATATTATGATGGAGCAAAGATAGAGAGGTATCTTTTTAAGGTTTAAAAACATCCTTTATTTCAACTTCTATTTTATATTATCCAAATCTTTTAAAGTTATTTTTTATACAAATAGATGCATCAAATTTTGCATTAAATGTGATTCTATCACAAATAGATATAGATGATAGACTCTATTCTATTGTTTTTCATTCAAAAAATTAATATTATTAATGCTGTAGATGTCGCAGGGCCACGTAGTAATTAAGATTAATTATGATATCCATAACAAAAAACTTTTTGTTATTATGGATTTATTTAAAGAATGTTGTCATTATCTAGAAGATGCTTTTCATCATGTTACAATGTATATTGATCACAAGAATCTTATATATTTTATGTGATTATGTATTTTAAATTCTTGCTATGTCCATTGGAGCATATCTTTGTCACAATTTGTATTTAATATTGCATATTGTCTTCAAAATTAATAAAGCTTATCAAATGCCTTGTTAAAAAGTTCTTTTCTTGCACCAAAATAAGAAGATGGAACACATCATCAACAACAAACTATTTTTTTTGAAACTGGAGTTATTATATTATTAGATTATTAAGTCAATAATTCTAATTGATACTACTTTTTCCAATATAGTTTGTTTAAGTATGTTGACAAACTCTCTAGTTTTTAATGTTAAAAAAATATCATGATAATTCTAAAAAACTTAGTTCAAAGATAATATCTTTTATTATAAAAGACATTAATATATTTTTAAAGCTAAAATATACTTATGTATATTACAAGCTTAACATGACCTTCTTAAGTGCAAGCTAGTTTGGATATAATAAAAAATTAGAACCTAATTCAAGAAATCTTTAGTGGCTTCAAATGTAAAAAGATGTAAAATTATTTTTTCAATCATATAACACTTATTTTAGAACAAAGATTCTATATCATCAACTTCATAAACTTCTCCAATTCCTACCTATTTTAAAACACTCATAGTTATCAGTTTCAATAGATTTTATTATGGATCTTCTAATTTCAAATTTTTAGGGTTCTATCATTATAACGATAGACTATTTTATTAAAATAACACATTTTATACTATGTTCAATAATAATTATCAATGGAAAAACAACTAAACTCTTTTTAGCTAGTATTTATTATTATTATAGACTTTTAAGTGACATTATTTTTAATAGCTAATCTCAGTTTATATCAAGCCTTTAGAGGTCATTCTTTAATCTATTACATGTTGATATCAAGTTATTTTTAACTTTTTATTGTCAAATTGATGGACAAATATAATAAGCAAATCAAATATTAGAACAATATTTGTAATATCTATCAATCACTACTTAGACAAACAGACAATTCTCTGTGGTATTAGCAAAGTTTTTTTATAATAATATAATATATTATTTTATCCAATAAATTTTATTTTTTGCCAATTATGGTTACTACCCACTATTTTGTACTTTTGATTTTATAAAAGTTAAAAGGATCAAAAGTTAAAAGTCAATAGTTAGAGGGTCTTTATACATTAAAGTCCATTTTAAAAGGTCATGGTATAAAAGCATTACAAAGATCTTCTAATTGGCAAAGAAATTTATTTTATTAGAAATCTTGGTTTTTTTTAGCATAGTATAAAGTGAAAAAAAAAAATCAAACAAATTGAACAATTCTAAGGTGTTTCCATAGCAAGAAAATATTACTTTTAGTTCACTCCCAATTTTTCCCAAAAAAAACATCTGTAATTCCAAAGTGTGAAACTAATTGAACTTCACGTAAATTATTTACATGCTCATTGAAAGGAAACCCTAGTTGATCAAAACCCTACCTGCTTAGTCACCAAGCATCCGAGCCAACGATATCGTACTGGATCGTTGTATTCGAGAGGAGCAGATTTGTTCTCATTGTTTTCTTCTGTTTTTTTTCTGATTATTTTTATTTTTATTTTTCCACACTGTCATTTCATACAGACAGGCATCACTTGTTTCAGATGATGATAGTCCGTAATCTCAAGTATCGCTACAGCGCGTTACGACGTGTGAGGAAACTGAACCCTTATGAGAAACGGGATCTGTATTCATGCTGTAGCTTGTGCACAAGTCCACAACGGTGGCGGCCTTATGAGTAGAGTCGCTCTTTCTCTCTCTCGAACCCCCTTTAATCTGAAAATTTTCCTTTACCCTTGTACATTACTTGGTGTCTTGCTACCATTAGTTTTGAAAACGATCCGAAATTTTAGGTGCTAGTAAATTGTGGGAGCACTAATAGTTGTGTATTCGGTGTTGTTGATGGGCGTACTGGTTGTTCGTATGTTGGTTTTCCTCTTAGGTACGCAGTTTTGGCTGTCTGGCTTGACTGAGAGGGGTATGCGATGGAGCGCACTGGCGAAGTGTAGTTAAGAACGTGACATTCTTCCCCGTAGATACCGACATCTGCTATTGGTGGAAGTTAGTTGTGCCATCCCCGCTTCTTTGCACATGACCTCAGTCACTGTAAAAAGCCAGGCGCTCGTCAACAGATAAGAGAACTCGCAGTGCACTTGAACATTCTTAGAGATGTGCAGCGACTTCACTTTGGAGACGAGGTGGAGTGAGGCCCCTATTCCTTCCTCAGCCACCCTGCAGCTTATTTCAAGGCGATGACCTCAGATGGTCTAACCTATCCCCTGTTTCGTAGAGCCATTTTGGTTAGACCACCTAATTTCAAGCGATGACCTCAGATGGTCTAACCATCCGGTTGTTGCGTCTATATTCTCTTTCTTTAGTCCCTACAGTACAAAAACAACCTGTGATTGATCGTGCTAGACCTCAGACATTCTGAGGTGGCCATATAATTTCGTCATGCGAGAAGATTTTTAACATCGAAGACCAACGTATTCTTACCAGCTTTTACCTCTGAATCGTACATCTGCCATGGCGGATTCGGTTTCTATTTCTTCGCTCTGAGAAAAAATTTCATGCAAGGAGATCAGAACGTACTCAGTCTTGCGGCCGCTTCAGCGCTACCCTGAGTTATTGTACTTCTTGAAACACATCATTTTCAAAACGAGAGCAGGAACATTTGATCGTGTTGAAGGCCTGTTCTTTCCTCACTCAGCTGTTCGATTTCATAATTTGGAACAGCTATAGTATCCAGTGCTATGAAACTGCCTATGGTCATTAGTTTGGCAAATTTTTGCAGAGTGTGCGGTGAGAGCAATATTGTGGCTATTAAATAAATCATGCTTGAAATACGGCAGGCGATATTTTCTTCGAGCTGGTGTTTCTTGGGAGTGAACTTCCCCGCTGGACCTTGAAAATTGAAGCTTAGCAGAACCTCTCTCATCCTGTACGCGAATGACGGATTTGTGTATCACCCATTCAAGCTTTCCAATGCAATCTGTTCACAAGATTTACGGTGGTTCCAGATGGCCACGACCCCGTGTGCATTGTTTTCTTGATTTGAAAATTGTGTTTGCAAAAGTGACATGGCTTCGACGTCGAGTAGAGGACCGACGTCACTCTAGTACGTATCTCATAAAAGTCACTGACAAGGCGTGGTCTGCTATACCGCCGTCTAACTCTTATTTTTTGGATTTCTTGTGTGAGCATTCTCTGTACTGCCAAAGTGGTATATTACTACCTACCTGCCGTTCAGGAATTTCGGAAAAAGACATGATGAGCGTTTCTATATATAGCAACCATCAGAACAAGGTGTCATGTCATTTACGTCAGAGATACTATCTCTTCTGCCAATTGATTGAGTTTTGAGCCGCACTCGATCCTGAAACAAACTGTTATTCGAGATCATTATATTTTGCCTTCACGTCACTGAAGAGCACAAATGCTAGTTGCTCTGGAGGTCTTTTCCTTCCATAATGTTTGTCCGTGGACTTCAGCTTCCAATTTGGTCTGAGAAATGCTAGTAAATTCATGTTCGTTTTGTACAGGAAGAAAAATTGGCTACCGTAACAATGGGGAGCTCATGGCTGCCAGAACAATCTTTTCAAAGCTGGGGAAATTACAGGCGAGCACTTGCTAGTATACCAAGCAGACTGATAGATCGGATGAGTGCACGCACGCAGCTGAACGAAGAAGTGACAGACATTAAAGCTCGAAGCAATGTGGACATGAACAAGAACTTGACCTGGTGGGACCTCATCTGGTTTGGAATAGGAGCTGTTATCGGCGCGGGCATTTTTGTCTTGACGGGTGTGGAGGCAAAAAATCACGCAGGTCCGGCAATTGTGATATCCTACGTCATCGCTGGATCCTCTGCTATGTTAAGCGCCTTTTGCTACACCGAATTTGCTGATGAGATCCCCCTCGCTGGTGAGCGTTCGTTAACGCTTGAATTTATCTGCATATAATACCAGCTTCACAATCATTCAATAGGCACCGCGACCGTCACAATATGAGAAATGCAAGAATGAAGGGACTCTCTCATGATATTTTGATTGCTAGAAAGGAGGAGCTTTTGCATACCTGCGGGTGGAGCTTGGCGATTTTATTGCTTTCATAGGCGCAGGCAACATAGTACTTGGAAACGTTATTGGTAGTGCTGCCGTCGCAAGGGGGTGGACTTCTTACTTCGCGTCCCTCATCTTCAGTGGTGTTGACGTGGGTGACAAACTACGAATCGAAACTAATCTTGCTGAAGGATACAATCAGCTCGATCCCATTGCTGTTGCCGTCCTCGTACTTGTTGGTAAGCACATTCAGTATTCTTTTTCAGGCTCGAAGTTACGGAATGATTCAAGATTCAAAAAGCTGTGGCCTCTGAAGAAAATGTGTTCTTCTAAGCGGTTTTTGGAGAATGTAACAGGATTGGTTGCAATATGGAGCACAAAAGGAGCATCGTACGTAAATTGGATCGCGTCCTTGGTCAACATGTTCATCATCGCATTCATCATTGTTGCTGGTCTAGCACTTTCAAACTCCCACAACCTTACGGATGACTTCTTCCATTATGGAGCAAGGGGCATCTTTAGTGCATCATCGGTCTTATTTTTTGCATACCTTGGCTTCGATGCAATTTCAACGATGGCGGAGGAGGTAAAGAATCCGGGACGCGACATCCCCATTGGTTTGCTCGGCTCCATGACCATCTGCACCTTCATTTACATCATGATGGCGGTAACATTGTCCCTCATGGTGCCCTTCTTGAATATCGACGAAGGTGCTCCATTTTCGGTGGCGTTTTCAAGCGTTGGTTGGGATTGGGCGAAGTATATTGTCGCATTAGGCGCACTGAAAGGGATCACGACTGTGTTGTTAGTTTCCACAGTCGGCCAAGCTCGTTATCTCATACACATTGCCCGCTCACATTTGATCCCTCCATGGTTTTCCCAAGTGAATAAGCAAACGCGAACTCCAATTAACGCCACCGCCATCACGATCTTGGCGAGCTCTGTTGTTGGCTTCTTCACCGACCTTCCAATCCTGGGCAACCTCCTCTCCTTGTCCTCCTTGTTCATCTTCTTCTTGGTTGCTGTTGCACTTCTTGTGCGCCGCTACTACGTCCCTGGGCAGACGTCTCGGCAGCATGGGGGCCTTTTCATTGTGTATATGCTACTTATCATCCTTTCCTCCACCGCAATTGCAGCATTCTGGGGACTGAACAAAAGCGGGTATGCCTTGTATGCTGTATGCGGATCTATCTGGTCCTTCTCAACCCTCCTCCTTCACCTAACCCTTAGACCTCTTCGTCAACCGGAGACGTGGGGGGTGCCTTTCATGCCATGGATCCCTTCTCTCTCCGTAGCCTTCAACATCTTCCTCTTGGGCTCTTTGGACAAGGCAAGCTTCATCCGTTTCGGATATTGGACGGGGATGATGCTTGTGTATTACTTTTTCTTTGGCCTGCACTCGACCTACGACGCAGCAAAGTACAACTCCTCGGATCTGGTGCCAAAAACACTACGCAATGAAGGTCAAACTGCGACGATTTATGAACAAGACACACCAAGTTCCACGTCAACATAATCAGAACATGTTGCAAATCGGTCCATGAGTGAGCATTGTCCAAAGTCAGTTTTGAATCTCCTCATGAATCTGAAAGGATGAATGCGAGCGAGAACTTCTAAGTTGAAGTAAGAACTCATAGAGCATGTAGGTCTCGTATTCCCATCGCAGTATACCACAAGGCCCGAGGATCCAAAAAACATATGCGGTGCACTTTCAAGCCCCTTCGCCTAAAACGTCCTCCTTCAGGTTCACATTTCCTAGTTTTTGTACGAAAGCTAACAAACACCCAGCTAGTACATTTTCAGAAACGAAACAGATCAGTTGTTTGTGATTAGGACTTTCACCTTTACAGTAATTGCAGTGAAATAAATTCCATTCGACTTGGCCATTCTTCTCCAGCGTAAATTACGGCTTGATTTCTGAGGTGATCGTGACGACTGCTGCAGATGTGCAATGCAGAATGTAGTCAGAATATCAGAGGCAACGAGAAAAAGTTGTATAGTTCTTGATGTACTGGAAAAAATTAAATTAAGTTCAATTAAATTAAACAAAAAAAACGAGTGCAGCACTCAGACAGCAATGAGAACACCGAAAGCGATGATGAATCCATAGTCTCATAGCTGGACATGAGATATATCCTCCCCGACGATCGAGATATAGACTCCCATGGAATGAAGTCCGAAATGCCTTGGACTGCTCCGAGGCTCTAGAACCATAACAAATTCCTCACTAACAAGGAATTAGAAGAAGACCACTAAGTCTATCCCTGCTCTCTAGAAGCATCTTATCGTTTCGAATTTTGTGTTTCCCGTCCACAGAAGTTCATGAAGATTGAATAACTATACAGCGAAATAGTTTTTACTCATTTCAAATTCGCTAAATATCAAAGTCTTCAATATCGGAGTTATCACACCACGATGCGAACCTCCTCCACACTCATCTCCACAAACGAACGTTATTCTTCCGAATGTGACATCCACTGGATGGATGATTAATCATCCATGCACTGTATGCGTCGCTCGTATTCTGTACGCTGGGGTGCCAATTACTCCTCCCTGTACAAAATATTGACAAGGCTGACGTGTCAGGATTTTCTAAATCTCTTGAAGTGATTCATTCTCCCAGCCTTTTTACTTTTTTTGATGCCATCAGCAAGTGAGTCAGATATGCATCCATGTCTATAATGAAACCCAATGCACAGTTTTTTTCTTGAGAAATTCATTTCTATCAAAAAAATCAATTTCCTAAGATGCAATCGCTGATATTTAGGAAATGTGGAAGCTTCCATTGTTGAATGCTTAATTAACCGTTTTCTTGAGGAATACTACAAATGTGAACAGTAAATTGATTTTGTAGAATAATGTTTGACAGAACATACAAGATTTGAAATAATAATAAGCAGATTTTAAAAACAGGGATCATTTTGGATGCCTGAGATTGATCTCTTTTGTTAGGAAATTGAATCATGAGATATGTGCATAAACAGTTACATGATTCAACTTATGAGAAAATCATAAGTAATCACACACTTGGTGATCTATAAGTTCTTTTTCAAGTATGAAATTATATTAAAGTATTCACAAATTAATAATATAAATAATTAAATAAATAATCAAACACATATACATACACTGATTTGTTTTACATGAAGTACGTAGTAAAGTGTTTCAAGACTGTCATTGCACACAAAAAATAATTTCAACTACAAATTGAAGTTATAAATCTTCACAGATTGGTTTAAAACAACTTAGACTTTAAACATACAGCAACATTAATACACTCAATTTCACAGATTTTCTAAATGATTAATATAGTAGAAACAGGCTAATTGAACATGACAAGGACCAGCCATTGGGTTTTCACTTAGTCAAGTTATTCACTTGTAGGGGTCAAGTAGAAGTATGTGCCCAAAGTAGGAACCATGATGCTCGTATGCATTTAGGCAATATGCATTTGAACAAGTTCTATGTATCTTAGAATTCTTGCAACATCAAAAAATACAAGATTCTTTCAATGAAAAATTTAAAAAATCTAATTCTAAATATTGCTTAAGTATGTTAATATCATGATTTTATAATTTACTTCAAAATATAATATGATTGGGATTAAATTTATAATTTCAATATAATTATTGTACTCCAAAAAGTAGGACAAATTTTAAGACATATTTATACATACCATAAAACACTAGGTAATATCACAATAGATTATGTTATAACTTGAGGTCTATATTAAATAATATTCATCTTCAAATTATATTAATTCAAAAGATTATATATATATATATATATAATATTTTTATTATTTAAGTATAAAAATATTAATCAACTATAATGATATTTTCTTGTTTTTATATTCAAATTAAATATTTTTGTTCATTCAATTTGATTATAAATTTATAGATGCTAGGATTTTTAATAGAAAAATTAATAAATATATGTATTTTAAAATAATTATTTATTGATAATAAAAAATCCGAATTTTATTTTATATTTTTAAAATCTATGTATTATATATTTAATTCAATTTTTAATGCTAATTATAAAATCTTTTATATGACTAAAATATTTTTAGTTATATCAAAGATAGCAAAATTTTCTAATGTACAAAAATATTATAAATTATATATATATATATATATTCATTGCTTTAAATTCATAATAAAACAATAGTATACTATTTTTAAAATTAAAATAGTTATAAAATCAACATATTATAGATTATAAATTATATATATATATATATATATAAAGGTTTTTTATTATTTTAAAAATAATATAGATTAAGTTGGTATAAATAAATTACTCTAAAAATACATTGTGTCCACTGTCATTAAAAAATAAAATCATTATATCATGGATATACATATGTATTCTAATAAATTCCTATATGATTTGATAGAAGTAAGTAAAAGTAGACAAAAGTAGATTAATTTCATAATACCTTCTAGAAAAGCTTCCTAAAAGCTTCATAGATGTTGTTTGTCTTAACATGTGTTTTTAGTTGATTGGTAGGTTAGAAACTTGGTCAACAAATTAATTACTTATTGATAGCTTGCAAAACAAGTTAATTATGTGGCGCACATATAAAAAACTTGTCTTGTAAGATATGTGTCTTGCAAAGTCAACATGTTTTGGAGGTTATATATGACATTGCCACATAGCTCCTAGTTAAGAAAATTTTTGGAGGTAAGAGTGAAGCCATCTGTATCCTTGTCAATGCTTTTCTAGTCTTTAGTTTTGTTTTAAGACTTTCTAGTCTTTTATTTTTTGATAATAGTCATTCTAATTCAATATTATATCATTTGTGAGTAACTTTTTAATTCTTTTTAGTGATATAAGAGTGTATTGATGTTTTCTTTCTTTGAGATTCATGTCCTTGACAGTTTGACAAGAGTGCTTAGTTATTGTTCTTGTTTTCTTTTAGAAATGAGTGGATTATCTCACTTCTATTGTTGTATTTTAAAGGTTACAGACTACCCACCTTTAAACAAATAATTTTGTTTTCTAACTCTAATCTTATCCTAAAAGACAGTGGATTATCCCTCTTTATGAAAATTTTCATTTGATATTAGAGATTGCAAATTATGCTACTCTAATTTAATTTTTTGAATTTTTTTGAGTTATCTATGGAAGGAAAGATTATAGATGCTATTCTCTCCAAAAGTAACAATAGATTTGCAATTATTGGAGATCATCATCAACTTGTCAATATTTTAAGAATAGAAATCTCATATATTTCTAATATGAATCATAGAAGTACAATTCTTATGCTTATGGAAGAAGTTCACAGTTTGTAGCAAGAAGTTATACAGTTGAAGGAAGCAAGTAGATTGACCTCTTAATGAAATCCATAGAGTTTTGCTTCTACAAGTATGTTAAAGACAAGGATAAGAATGCTTGAGAAGTTTAATTGAACAAGATCAAAATTTTGAGGATTTTTACAACAAATCAAGCTTTATTTAAAATTACATCCTTCCAATACCTTGATGGATTAACTCAAGTCGGATTCATATATGCACTTCTATCACGAAGTCCTCTCTTTTGATTTGTTCTTTTAATGCAAAAAGATTCATAATTCTCTTATGATTTGAATTTATTTTTAGAAGTGTTTACAGCATTAATCAAAGAAAGTAATCAAAAAAGAATAGTAGAAAACAAGCTCTTATCTTTATAACAAAGATCATAATCAGCCTCCGTATATACTGCTAAATTCCAAAACCTTGCTTGCAACATGGATTAGAATGACAATGCCCTTATGAATCAATTTTGATATGGATTGAAGGATAATTTCAAAGATTTGTTATTGATAATATCAAAAGTAAAATCTTTGAAAAAAATTATTATTCAAGCCATTGCATGTAATAATTAATTATTTGAAAGGCATCAAGAATAAAGACTTACTTGGAGAGGAACAAGTCAAATAATTATGGTAGCTCTGAAGTTTTCAAAAACTTATTTATTAAAGCCAAAAGCAATGCAAATTGATATAGTATATTTTAAATCTATCACAAAGCAGGAAAAGACTTGACAATGTGAAGAAGGCTTATGCTTATATTATAGAGAAGTTAAATACATTGTTCAAAATTCTTAAACCAACAATGTAACCACAAAATCAGAAACATGGTTGCCAAGGAAGACAATGTGTCAAAAATAAGTTTCTCCAACTACAATAGGAATCATGCGATTAAAATCTTACGTAACTCCTAATAAAGGTCTTATTCTTTCCTCAAATTCTCTCACCTTATTTTATAATAGAAATTCATTTAGGACCAAAAAATCACAAAGTCTTAGCTTTGTTATATTTAGAAGTCTTAGCCTATTTTATAAACAAATTTTTTATCAAAAAAAGATATATTTTTAATTAAGAAAATTAAACATATACATAGAGAAGTCATAGATGGTTGTTTGCTATCTTCTTGAGATATTACACATAAGATTGTTCTTTTAGATATAGCAATTAAAGATCACAATAGCATAGTAATATTTAACGTAATAAGATTTTTGTCTAATTTGATTAATTAAGGATTATCTTAGTTAAAAAAGTATAATCCTCAGATAGATTTGATTTCTTGTAACCTTAATTTTTATGATAGTTTAATCCAAAATCCCATTGATCAAGTAGAAATATATAAGTCTAGTACATCCAAAAACTTATTAATGAGTGCAAAAGCTTTCATGCATGCCACAAAAGAAGGGTTATCTTTTGCTACATATGCTATGCCCATTTCTAATGGTGAAAAGACATCAAGTAGTATTTCTAGTCAATATCAAGATTTCTAATATGCATTTGAAAAGAAGAATGTAAATATTCTTTCAAAGTATTGTCCTTATGATTATTCTATTGACCTTCATGAAAGAGCTCAACTATTATTTAGACCTATCTATAGCC